ACGACCGTATTGACACTTCAATACAACCGCAGCGAACTCAATACGGGCGTATTGAAATTTCTGAATTTCAATACGACCGTATTGAACTTCAATACGACCGTATTGAAGTTCAAAAATTTCAATACGGCCGTATTGCTCCTGTAGGCCGTATTGCGCCTATTCCCTATAAATATGACGTCAATTGGACGTCATTCCACACTTTTACACTCAGTTTTGACTCCCTCCTTGAGTATTCTGGGGTTTTTGAGCAGTGTTCTGCCCTAGAAATCTCTCTGGGAGTCGATCCGACGAAGTTCTGGAATTCCGAGCACTTAGCTTGGAGATTCGAACCTAGTCGAAGGGAAATCCTCCGGATTTCCATAGTCAAAAGTTTTTAGGAAGGAGCGAGCGAGCTTGTAGAGCGAGGGAACGCCAAAAAGCTTCCCAGTTTTACTCAATATATAAAAGCACGCTTCAAGAGGTTTCTTCTTAAATCCTTCCTTTTACTGCTTTCTGTGTGCATATTTAAACTGTCATCATGTAGATAGTCAATTTATAATTGCTTAGAATAAATAGGGGTAATTTAGTAATTTTATACTGTTCTGTTAAAAATAATCTGTCATAGGGAACCCGAAAGGGGCGCTGTGGGGTGCTAACACCTTCCCCACGCGTAACCGACTCCCTTACCCAACTCTGGTTGTAGTGGCCAAAGTTGATTTTTAAATCAATTGCCTTATCCCTTTTTCCAATGTTTTGAGTAAAACATTGGTGGCGACTCCACGAACCCTCCTTTTATGAAAACCACTAATCCATGGAGGGTCCCGCTTGGGATTAATATGGATTAGTGAGCCTTTTAATAAAATTGCTCGTTTGACGAGGTCTCAGTTTGAGAATAAGTCATTCTAGCAATCCACATTTTTCAAACAAATAAACGAGTCCAACCATCCTTCGCGAATGCCGAAAGCCCCGTTTCGGGCCGGTGGCGACAATGAGATGAAAAGATTATTCCTTGGAAAGTTTTTCCCTACCCCCAGAATTGTAGCAATTAGAAAAGAGATTTCTAGAATAAGGAAGCAAAATGGTGAGACTTTGTATGAGTATTGGGAGAGACTCAACAAGTTGTGTTCCACTTGTCCTCATCACCAAATTAGTGAACAATTGTTGTTGTAATTTTTCTATGAGGGACTAATATTGATGGATAGGAACATGATTGATGCAGCCAATGGAGGAGCATTGATGGATAAGATACCATTTATTGCAAGGAAACTCATTACAAACATGGTAGCCAACACTTAATAATTTGGATTCTAAGGAGTTGTTAAGGGAGTAAATGATTCGGTAACTAGAGTTGTTTGGAAGTCGTAGATTAAGTTAAATTAATTGATGTTGAGTGAATTATTGTTTGTTTATTGTATTGTTTGATGTGAGCTTCATGTGCAAGAAGAAGCGCTCCAACCTTTGGTACCTGAAGTGGAACTAATTTGTTGCTAATTAGGCTTACCTCAAATTCGTAATTGTGTAATAAGCCTTATAGAAGAACCTCAAGATGTTCATGTGGAGAAATAGGATCTTCAACCGGCCGGTGAAAGACAACAACTAGTGCTTTGACTCAAGCAAGAAACTTATCCATGGTTTTTCCTTCAAGAGTTGTGATACGTAGCTCTATACACAACTGACTTGCTCTTGCTTGCATGTGTGAAGTATTCGTGAAGTTTCTCCCAAAGTTCCGAAGAATGCACACAACCCATGATTTGTGTGAGTATACTACCTATGAATCGATTGCAACCAAGAATGTAACAATTGATCTTGTTGCTCCCATGCTTGATACACCGAATTTACCGATCTAGTGGCACAGTCTTCTTTAGAAAGAAACCACGAAGGGATATGAGGATTCACCAAAAAAGAATGAAAACGATACTCTTTGATGACAGGATCAATTTGTTGTAATTTACCAAGTCAATTATAACAACTAGTCTTGAATCTATTGCTCTAATATAAATAGTGCTCATGTATAGAGATAGGTGTAATATTTCATATCATTCTACTTTCATAACTACAATATAAAAAAATGCAATTCTTTCATTCAATTCAGTATTCGAACAAGCCTAAATATTATAATCAAGATTGCGATGGGCCACCGTCTGAGCATTTTTTAGCCCCCAAAAGTGATGGACCTACAAAGTCAACACTAGGCATGGCAATGGGGAGGGGCATGTTTTATGTTCCCCACTCTTGCCCCCATAGATTTAAACCTCCCTGCCTTTAATACTTGCTGGAGATAAAATCTGGATATCCATCCCCGTCCCCGACGGGGTTCGGGTTTTCCCACCCCACCCCCGCTCTTGGACCTTTTAGTCTAATAAATATGAAAATAAAAAAAATTAAAATAAAAGAGGTGAAGAGGTGAAGAGATGAAGAGGAGAGAGTTGTGGCCGCGTGAGGTGAGTTCATGTCTCTAAGAAAAATGAGGTTAGGATTTCTAATTTTAGTTTGTATGTGTGTCTGTGTGTGCGTGCGTGCGTGTGTGCGTTTCAAGCAAGTACCCACGGGACCAGATTAGAATGTCATGCCTAGTCAACACCCTTACTCCCTCACTCCCTCATTATGCAAATCCTTGCAAAAACGAAAAGGAAATAATTCCATAAATAAAAACAAAAATTTAGAATAAAAAACAAAAAGAAAAGAAAAACAGTAACCATTGTACTAATTTACAATTTCTTAAAACTTTTTAAAAAATACTATTCAAAGGCCAAGCATACCTTTAATAGCCTGGAATTGTGGTGATCCTCGGGTGGACCATACATGATTCCATTTCACTCTAGACTTCCTGTTTTTAATAATCATGTCTTTTATTTTATTTTTTTAAAAATAAAATATTGTATATATTATATGTACTGATAATAAATAAAAAGAATTAAAATAGAAATTATATTAAGAAGGTGAAAAATAATCTTGGTATAAACATGTTTTAATATGGAAAAACATGCACTTTTTGTTTTACCAAAGGACATTTGTATCTTTAGAAATTTTTTGCTTTATAAGTATCTAAAGTGTTTGGGTATCTAAAGTTAAGAATGTTAATTTTTTTTATATTTTTTTGTTATTTAAAAAATAGCGATCTCAAGAAACATGGTTTCTTGTAAATGGATTTTACATAAATTTTTTACAAAATTATTTCCATGTAAACACATCACATTATGTTTATTTGTTTATTTAATGTAGCAAGGATCTTTGATTTTTAGGAAATATTTATAAATATTTCCAAAATTACTTATGACTAACCAAACAAATTTTCACAAGAATCATGATTTTCAGAAATTGTGATTCTCTTGAATCATTATTCAAAGCATAGAAAATTTTGTACCAAAATATAAGAACCAAAAATGTATAAATTAGTTGGACAAAGTAAGACATTAATAAAAAATAATAATAAAGAATAAAATCAAAGCTTAAATAACTTTTTAGTGTCTAAAAAATAGCTTGTTTTTGCTTTTAATCCTCTTATATTTTTTTCCATTTTCATTTTTGTAAAAAAATTGTTTCATTTTTTTCTTTGCCTTCAAATTGACCATTAAATCTAACGGGAAAAAATATCATAATATTACAGGAAGCAAAATAGAAAAGTGAGAAAATTTTAGGGATCAAAATAGAAAAGAACCAAAATGAAAATAACAAAATTTTGAAAGGACCAAAATAAAAACAACTAAAATTAAAAAGAATTAAAATGAAATCAACCTTATTTTTTATGGACTAAATATTTATTTGAGTTAAAATTATAAAGTTTGAACTTTTAAATAAAAAATATAACTTCATAATATAATTATAAAAAAAAAAGTCATATAACAAATGCATTGATGATGAATGCAGTGAAAACTAGCAAAAATAATTATCAAAATTAAATGCATAACTTTGTAAAGTCATATAATGATACATTCCCCCTTATAAATATACAAAAAGTAAATACGACAAACAAGTAGAAAAAAATAAACACAAAATAAGATAGAAATACAAAACAAAACATTACATGTGAGTATGAAATAAAAAAAGAGTGAATCACCTGTACACTGTCAGTGTAAAGTTTTTTTATACTGGTAACCAATTATATCTTTTAATTGTGTCATGTCACTGTAAACATATTTACTTTTAATAGTAGCATGGTACAATTAAGAGATATAATTGGTTGCCAGTGTAAAAAAAATTTTACACTGACAGTGTATAAGTGATTAACTCATAAAAAAATTCAAAAAAATGAAAAAAAAAATATATATTAATATCTTTCTTACATTTACACCGATATCTCTTATAAATTACATCAAGAAAAATAAAAACCTATTACTATTTCCTGCTCATATATTACTACTCATTTTGACATCTCTATTACATTTTATGTTTTATTTTTTCTACTTTTCATTTTTTATATTTCTTTCATAATTTGAAGGTGACTGCAACTTTAATGAAAGACTTTTATAAAGTTTTATGTGTAATGTTTAATGTTTTAGATGATCACTGAAGATTAAGATTTTTACTATGTATAAGTTCAAATTAACGTTTAAACTTTATAACTTTAGTTTAAATACAAGTTTAGTTCCTTTAAAATAATATTTTCTTAATTTTAATGCTCTTATTTCTAATTAGTTTTATTTTAATCATCTTAATTTTAGTTATTTTTATTTTAATCCTTATAAGTTTTTGTTACTTTCATTTTAGTCATTTTCTATTTTGACCCTATAATTTTCTTTTTTTCCACTTTTGTTCCTACATTTCTTTTGACCATTTTCTACTAGATTTAACGGTTAATATGATGAGAAACACAAAAATGAAACAAAATAATTTTATAGGAATGAAAATAAAAAAATAATAATAAAAGAAATAAACCTATTTTACATTTTTATATTGACAAAAAAATTATTTAAGCATAAACTCAAACTTACCTTTATTCAACGTGATTGAAAGCATATTTTACTCTTCAAAGTATTTAATCATGTGTTGTGTTGGACTATTTTTTTGTCATGTTATTCATCCCCAACGGACACCATATTTGAGTCCAAATTCTAGCATCGCCTCGCACAATTCGACCGTTGCAGCCACTTTTGCCTAAACGGTCACATTATCGTTAACAATTTTCATATACTTGTTTCTTCCTCCTCACACCTAGTTCTCACATTCGCATTGAACCTGCAGTTCCCACTTCAACTCATTTTCCTTGTTCCGTGGCACAACACAATAATTTCATGGAAAAGGAAAACATGCTCAAAACGCCTCCAAAAGTTCCAATCCAAGCACAAGTTCCCGAACCTGAATGCAAAACACCAACTCCACTGCAACAAGACCAGAAGGATCACAACTCATCAAATGAATTGCGCAAGCCTGTTACCCCAGATCGTCTTAGAGTCCCCAAGGCATTCAAATACCCAGAAAGGTATTTAGATAAGTGTTTACAAAATCGATTTTTGATTATAATTGATTTATTGGGTGTTTGGGATACTTCCAAGAATTAATTTTGACCCCAAAATCATGGTGAAAAATTGAAGCAATTATTTATTATTTTAGCCTTCAACCTAGTTTTGTAATTGATTTTAGTTGATTCTTTCTTACTGGAATAATAGTTTAAATAAGTTGGAATTTGGGAGACTCACGAGGCATGCCTGAGGACTCAAAGAACACCAAGAGAAGTATTTACAAATTACTTATTGGTCTTCACATATGAGAATCAAACTCATGTATTTGTGAGATATGAGTTCCCTCCTTAATAACTAAGCTATCTTCGTTGGTTGATTTTGATAGAATTGAAAAGCAATTCAAATTACACACTTGTATTTTTACAAAGTTGACTCAATTCACAATTAATTTTAGATTTATAATCAATTTTCAATATTAAATTAAATAGTTAAATATTTATCTAAAGTCGCCTATGAAGCCAAACACCTATTATATTATGAAATTCTAAGGATAAAGTATGCAGATGACATTATAGTTAGGTTAATGAAGTCAATATGTGAGGTCTTATTGGGCTTTTTTTTTGTTCATTTTCTTAGATATACAAGCCCAACTGATTCGATGATGTCACCAGTAACCAAAGGCCTTCTTGCCAGAACTAAAAGGGGTGGTGCAGTGTTACCACCTGGTAAAATTCAACCACCAAAGGTACACTAATAAGGCAATAACAGTCAACAGATTGTTCTGCATTTGACTTTTCTGGCTATGATACTTTAACTCTTTTGGGTGCTCTGCAATTTTCAGTGTGGTGCAATTTTCAGTGTGGTGCAATTTTCAGTGTGGTGTAACAGTGCTTGTATATGTTTTGTGAATTACTGCAGATTCTAGACATGCCCTTGCAGGATGTGGGTCCTTTCCAGAAAATGCAGATTGATGAGAAGACCAACTCAACTTGAGGAATTCAAAGAACTTTTGTTCAACATGATAAATCATGTGACAGTGGTTCATGGGGACAGTTTAAAGATGATGTAATTTAATATCAAAGAGAAAGAGATAGATCTTTGTTCCCATCTTATAGAACTGTCTGTTCTAATGATTGTAAGGTCTTTGAAGTTTATGATGCTCAATTTTCTTAAATAGCCTTTTGTAACAATGATTGTCCCTGTTAATTAAAAAGTTTTATATTTTCAGATTCCATTGAAACTTGTAAAAACATTTACGATAACACTTAAATCTCAGTCTCTTCATCACTAAATGATAACACTTTAAACCAGTAGCACTTGGTATGCAGGGTTACTCTCAATCTAATTGAGAGAATCATTTTATTTTGATTAAAGAATCATTTAATAAGTATGGGTACATAACCTCTGCAATAAGGATTATAACAATATCATTTTATTTTGATTTAGATATATTTTTTATTCTTGTATTCTATCAATTTTGTTTCTTGAATAAGTACAACACTTTGAAGGGGGGTCTAGCTGCTCTTGCATTAATTAAATTAACATGTTTGTGTTCGTTACAAGAGAATTGAAGGTCGTAACCAAGTTAACATGGCAAACTTAACTATCACTCCAAACGGACCTCATACCATTGAATTGAGCCAACATCACCATCAATTTCAAGTTCACAAACAGATCTCACAAGGAAAGAAACAGCATCATCAATGTTCTCGTATCTAGCAAGATCAGGAGGAAGAACCTTGCCTGGCCAATTTTCCAATAACTGTTTCAAAATTGCCTTCAACTCTTCCTCAGAAACAAATCTCTCATCCTGCCCTGGTTCTAATAGTACGTAAGTTTCAGTTCTCTCATTTGCCCTTCTCCTCCTCCTCAATGCGAAAACCTGATAGGAAATGCATGTTGATTGTTAGAACAAAAGCTGAAAAGGTACTTGATTAAAGGTACTTGATTAAAATAAAACACATTGACAAGGAAAGGATATTTAACGCCGTCAGTCAATCATAGATTGTCATAAATGGTACTCTTGTAATAATTATGTTAAAAATAATATCTAAGGTGATTTATTATTAGTTGATACGTGATACCTTAAAAATTTTTATACCAATAATGTATAAAAAATAAATTTATTCTATACTTTAGAGTAAACTACATTGACTCCTCGTTAGCTTTTATGAGATTGCATCACCCTCCTGCGTGAGAGTGTAATGTTTTTTCAAACAATTAACAGGGTTAGTTAGTGTAGAGATAAAAAAAATGTAGGAAATGTATATACAATTTCATGAAACTTCAAGGAGTATTTGTGTAATTTACTCTATAATGTAACATATGATAGCAAGGATACATTGGACATACTCTTAATTAAATAGAAGCATTCAACCCATATAACATTTCATATAGGACTTTCTGAATTGAACAGAGAATTTATATTTAGACTAAATGGGTCAATCATAGTCAGATATTAGATATACCTTAGTTTTACTTCTGCAATCACCTGTAACCTTTGAAAGTCTCTGATGGATTGAAGAACTAAAACATTTAATTAGGCATGGTGATGATATATGGATTACGGGATTCTGAATATAGTAACCTTCTGCAGCTGCAAATGATCAGAAAGCTAACACATTAGTAAAACAGAAGACCTTGGCTTTTCTACATAAGGCTACATTTTCCTATAATTTAATGCATGTTTGGTTTAACTTCTTTTCAAGGAAAATAAACGCTTATTCTTCAATAGCTCTCTTTTTTCTTTCTTTTTTTTATAACATAATAGCTCTCTTAGAAGCTGGCAAAATAATAAGCAATTATTTCTCTAAAATAAGCAGAAAAACTAAACGCTTAGATTACACATAAACAATGAAATCTACATTTGGTTCAAAATTGTACTGCATATTGTTAATGTATGACTGACTATGGATGAATCATGTTAATGCTCAAAAGTTCATTTTCTTTGCGCAATCATTAGCAAGAACAAGGCAACAAGTGTTCTGAGTTACAAGCATGTCAAACCTGATTGGCATTCTGTGCTAAAGATAAATATTAAAGGCTAATGATATGAGCATAGCTTACAGCAGAGGGAACGAACTCCAACATTGAAGGGACGAGACTGCAAAACTCCTACCATAGCAATTACCAAATATTTAGCACTAAGCTTCTTTCATGTTTCTGAAGCATTGTACAATGCGACCAAGTATATCATCCATATAGCCCGTGTCAAATTACAATCACAAACTCTAGGGATAACTTCTTTATTCTAATTCTCTAACTACCCTCCATTTTTATCATATTTTCAACATTGCCCTTTTGTACATTACATGTCCTTGCGCCCTTTTTTTTTAGTTTTGGCTACTCCCTATTTTTGGCGCTTTGGTTAAGATTTCTCGAGACTTAGAAACACGTTTACAGACCAAACGAGTTTCTGTGCCAAAAAAGGCATGTTTGGTCATATTTACACATAAGAATAAGCATGACATGATCAGATATATTAACCATTTTTATTAATTAATTAAGCTACATTTTTTAATTCGGAATCAAGCAAGCTATATTAAGAATGAATATGTAGATAGAGTTTTTTACTCTATGTGAATGATATATGGATAGAGATAGACTTTAAAATTATATAAATCTTGGTTTGCAAAGCTAATCGAAATATGTTCTTCTAGTATATTCATTGATAGTTTAATACAATATTTTCATTAGGCATTAACCATCTAAGGTCTAACGGATACCAAAGTTGGTTGAGTTGTGATATGTCATAATTAATCACTCAGTTATATAAACGGAGTAATTCCCGAGATCCTCTCCTTGCCTTTCTTTATCATTGTATTGTCTTCTGTGTTTCTCCATAGACAAACCCATATACCCCAAAACCCAGCTTTCATTTCCTTGTCCCCATGCCAGCTTCTCCTTTTTCTTAATTTTCCTTGCAATTTTCCTACTCTTGATTTTGGTGCAGAACATGTTAATCCAATAATGAACTTCATCTTGCACCAATTTTTTGATTGAAGGATCGTTGAAAATTGTAGATACAGGGTTCCCGGAATTAATCGTAAAAATTTGAGTAAGTTCTATAGGTTTCCCGTTTCCCTCGATATTTCATTTGGCGATTGTACAATATTCAGAAAAGGGTATTGTTTATTTATTATTTTACATGAAGGTCATATGTTGTATGCTAATGCTGCAAATTATATAACGATGCATGTAATGTGTTGTAGCTCTTATGTGCATGGCTTATGTTAAAATTCTCTTGGTACCAAAAATAATCTGTTACGAAAGCATGTTAATTCTATTTCCAAAGTTTTATGAAACATTACCAGAAATTTATTGTCTCATTGTCACAATGGTGGTCTAAAAGTGCTACATGTCTTGCTTTTTTGTAGGGTTCCAAAATTAATGGCTTTCTTGAATTATGAGAACAAGAGAGGAAGTGGTAAGAAACTCAAAGTGCATTTTGATCTTCCTGAGGATGATGACTATCCCAATCAGAAGCATTCAAGATCCTCATCTGATTCTTCATTAAATTCAGATGATACAGACAAAGATGGTAATAGCATAGACAATGTTGATTCTAAGTATAATTTGTATGGCTCTCCTGTGTGGAGCTTTCAAGGAGGGTCAGTTACTCAATCTCCTCCAGTTCAGTTTATGAGTTCTCCAGGGTATGATCCAAACAGAATCCCCTCATCTGTATTTGCTAATAGATCCACAAGTCCTATGGAATGGAGTGTTGCCTCAAATGAATCACTATTTAGCATACACTTGGGAAACAATAGTTTCTCAAGGGATTATGCTTTTCCTCACAACAAATCTGGGGAATTGCCTAGGACTAATGATGGGGTCATCATTCCTTCAACACTGCCACCTGTTCAAGAGGTGAAGGCTAGTGGCAATAATATGGACGTGGAGAGACACTCTGTATCATCAGATTCATCAAGTGAATCAGAATATTCAGTTGGGAGGCATGAAACTGCAGGTTCAGTTGTGGAGGTTGTTGACCTTAAGAAAACAGAAACATCAGCAAATGTTGGAACGAATGAAATAGTGTTGGGCAAAACTCCAGAAGATCATCATAAAGAAGAAAAGGTCCCTAATGAGGAACCCAAGAATTATAACAGTGTCTCCTACCGTTCAGTGGGAAGCGATATGAGTACACATTCATTTCAATTTCCTATGTGAGTTCCCCTCATATCTTGCTTATATCACTGTTTTATCATCATGACATAACTTCCCTAAGGAGAGTGGATATTTAATGCATGCAAATCAAAAAACCTGTTTGGTTTGAATAAACTTCTCTACAAGTAGAAACTAACAAGAAGATAAAATAAATTGAGTTTCTTCTATAAGCTAAAATCAACTTATGCACTTAACTTTTCTAGAAACTCTCTCTTTAATTTCTGCATAAGCTAAAGTGCATAAGTCGATTTTAGATTATGGAAAAACTCAACACATTTTACCTTTCTATTTTCTTCTCTTATGTCTCAAAAACTACTCTGAAATATGATAGAAATCAAATGGAAATTCTTGGTTGATGGAATCTCAAGTAAGCAAGAGTAATGTATATGCAGACTAGTTCTTCCAACCTGTAAAGAGTTTGATAATAACTCATACAATCCAGCATTGGTCACTAGCATTGTGTTTGGATTGGCTTCATTCATGTATTCTCGGCTTAGTTTTTGTTCTTCAAAGTAATATAAATTATAATTAATATGATGTTTTTAGAGGGTAGGATATCCTTCTATTGACCATCGTTTTTTTTTTCTTGAATTCTTTCAGATTGACAGCCGATGGTGGAAGAAATAGTTCATCAACAGTAGAGTCAGAAAAGCGAGAAAAAACTGAAAATCAGGAGCAGCAGCCAGAGAATGTGTTGGAGCCTCCTAGTCCTAAAGCAGAAAAGGAACCAAAGCAAAGTAGTAAAAGTTGGTGTTTCTGCTTCTCTTGTTCACCGTGTTTTTGAGAGAGAAAGATCTTCAAATGATGTTGGAATGGAAATAACTAAATGACTAAAATGATGATTACAATGAAGAACATTCAAAGGATCTGCTGGTTATATGGGGATTATTTCCTGCATTGTGCACATCTTCTCTAAAATGCTAGAGGAATAGATAGTTCCAACCCTGAGATTCCAGGCGCGGCTTTGGTGTAGATGATTTTAATGTTAAATGGTATATGCATGACTATCAAAAGTCACAGATGGATTTGCACTTCACTTTGTAAGGTTTTGCAAAATGCTAATCATCTGACTCTCAAGCTACAGTTCTCTGCTTACATTTCCTTAACATGTATTACTGGGTTAAGCTTTTGAGTCCATGAATTCTTATATTTCCTCAAATCTTAAATGATACATGGCCATGATTTTAAGTTTAAACAACAAATGACTTTGAATTATACTCTATTTAAGAGTGTTGGAGATCCTAAATTCAACTAGAGATCAAAAATATTATACACAAGTGGAAAGCAATTTTCATTTTACAAACCAGTTTTGTAACATTAAATTATGTGATTATCCCCTTTATTAAGATGTTATCAGAGTCTATCTTGGTGAGTGTTGTTAAACTTGTTAGGTCACCCGTTGTCAAATTCCACCGATGTTTAGTTATGTAAATTTCATATTCAAAATATCTGATCTTGAGTGGTAGGATGTCTCATTTATCTTAGTTTTGTCATACTAGAATTATTAATATTTGAATAGTATTCAATCAACGGATAGAAAATTAAGAATCGAAAATTTAATTGAAGTATCAATTCAAAATCTGTACGGTAAAATTTTTATAGCTCAATAGTAAATTCGAATTCTCAATCAACCTAATTTAACGCGAATTTAATCAAAAAATGTAGATCTAAATCTAGATTTATGAATTCTATCAAAACATGAAATACAATCGTGATCTCACAATTTTGACAAAATTCAAGAATGGTGAATGGTTGAATTAAATGATTTAGGCTATTTTATGTTTAAATCTAAATCTAAATTTAGATATAAAATTAGTCTTCAATCTTTGTTCTAGATTCAAAATGAAATTTATCATGAAAAATGAAAGAAAAACATAAAACAGAGAATAAGAGAAATAGAAAATTCATTTTGTGAAAAGATTGAAAACTCAAACTTTACTATAATTCTTGAAACCTAGAATTGATTAATGAACTAGTCACACATCATAATCACATTGCAACAATCCAATTTGTGTAACTAAGAAAGATTACATACAATGTTCAAGTTTCATTTATGAATGAAGATATGAACCAGATGATTATCCCAACCAAAGCAAGAGAAGAGAGCAAGTATGAGTTGTGATCACTTGTGTGAGAGTTTATATATATATATATATATATATGGGGAATGCTAATATACTTCCACCTATTTTTTAGTTAGAGTATGTTAGCAACCTACACCAAAATTTTAGGACAAGAAAACTATTCATTTCTTTTAATTTGGTTAATTTGTATAAAGGATATTATAGTAATTTAATTTAATTTTAAAAGAAAATAAAACATTTTCTCTTTCTTATTAACTTCATTCTCCAATTCATTTCTTTTTTTTATTAATTAATTTTTTATTTGTTCAGAGAGAGGAATTTAGATCCTCTCATGCAATATTCTCTCTCCAGCCTCTCTCCAGCAATTCTAATAACAATTGGATATATCTAATGGCTCAAATTTAATCTTATAATTAATGGATCCTCTTAAATAATTTTTATAAGATTAAATTTGAGCTATTAGATATATTCAATGGTTATTAATGTTGATGGAGAGAGGCTGGAGAGAGAATATTGGAGGAGAGGATCCAAATTTGAGAGAGAGAGAGGGGGGGGAGACATCATGAGAGATGAGAGAGAAATCAGTTAAATAAAGATTTTAATAGGAGAGAGATAAATGAGTTAGAGAAGATATTTAATAGAAAAGAGAAATGGGTTAGAGAAGAAATTTAATAAGAATGAGAAATGACTATAATATCCTTTATACAAATTAATCAAATCAAAAGAAATAAGTGGTTTTCTTATCCTAAAATTTTGGTATAAGTTGCTAACATACTCCAACTAAAAAACAGGTAGAAGCATATTAGCATTCTCATATATATATATATATATATATATATATATGAGGAGGGTTCAAACGACACCGGTGTAACTTTTATTAAATGTTACACCACTTAATAACTTTATATTAAATGTGAATTTTGAAAATCTAACCGTTAGATTGAAAGTTCATATCTCTTACATCATGTATATCAAATTTTGTTAAAATTGAACAACAACTTGAAGGTAATCAAAGTGTTCATATTTTAGTATATTTTAAAATGTATATATTACGTCAATTTTGTTTTATGATAATGAAGTATCAAATCATCTTAGATTAACATAAAATTTGATATACATGATCTAAGAGATATGAACTTTCAATCTAACGGTTGGATTTTCAAAATTCA